AAGCTGCTCGATTTTTCGCCCCCGCAAACCACCCGCCACGCCCGTTCCGTTCCGTGTAAGGGTGTAATCAACGTGTAAGCAATTATCCCCGGGGGTTCCGTGCGTCCGTACGTTTAGACCGAATTTAATGGTCCGCGCGCGCGGGCATTTTTGCGAAGGAACTCCATTTCCACTCGCAGAAACTACGGGCGGTAGTCGTTCGACCTCGTCGAAATGTTTACGTACCGCGAATGTCACGGTATTTCGGCAAAGCTGTTACCAACGTTCAAATTCACGGCTATACACGATCGTTCTCCATATAGCCGCTCTCTTGCGAACAGATATATACGATCGCGTCGCGATATTAAAAGACTTAAAAGTCTCGTGTTATTATATATTAGAGCGAAACAGAGGCGCCGCGATTGTACACAACTGAGAGCAACGCGCGATCGAGAGGTGGATACTGAACATATACATATTATTTATATATCGCGATACGTCTCTATTTCCATCCCGTCGGTTATCGACGAAGTTCAATATTTAGACGGGCAACATCGATGTGGCAAGCGCCGACAGACGATAAACATTTAATGCTTTTTAGGATATGCTTTATAGTGGCCGAACAATATTGCCACTGTGTTCCATCCCGTCTTGTACTCTTGTCGCCCCTCTTCTTCTCCTTCTTCATCTCCTTCTCCACCTCCTCCTCCGCCCCCGCGCGTCACTCGCACTTGTATGAATAATTTATGCTCCTACACACACCCGGTACCCGAGTTCGGTCAACACGACGCTCGCATAACCATGTTTCCGGCCCCATATCAATTTTGCTGCGACAAGGCAGGAAGACAATTAAGATAGCGCGTTGTTAGATAACGACTATGTTCCCCTTCAAGTCGTCAAGAGAGAGAGAGAGAGAGAGAGAGAGAGAGAGAGAGAACCGCGGTCTCTCAATTTTTCCCGCGCCGAGATTGCGCGAGAAAATGGAGGAAAGAAAAAGAAATTTACGCGAAAGCTAATCCCTCGATTTTCTTTTCTGAAATGACCGCGATCAAAATGCGCGACCGCAAACGAAGCGCGGATTAGACTTTCGATCGAGTGCAAATTTATAATCGGGGCCGAAACGAACGGCGACCGAATGAATTCGGCGCGATGTTTGAGTTACCGAAATTGAACCTTTAAGTTTCAAGCGAAATGATAACCGGTTGATCCCGGCTGAGTCGCTTAGCGAACAAACCGATAATCATTTCGGGCAAACTGAATTCGGGCTGGCTGCAAAATTGCGCGATGCAGTTCGACGATCTGAAATATCTCGTCTGTTTTTCACGCGTCTTATAAGTTAGCAGAATAAAATAGAAGCAGAATCAATTTTAATATATTTATTTGTTGCTAAAGAGTTGGCAAAGAAAACATTTGTTGTTAGTTTTTTTTTTAATGTTCCGCTAAAGAAAGATAAAGTTAGTGGGACAAGAAGCTGAAAAATGTATACCTATGAAATTTTGAATAGCGAAAGATTAGAAGGACTCGTTCATTCATTTGACATTTAACATTAAATATCAATGAAAGATACTTTCGATAATATGAACAAATTATCGTTTTAAGCGATTTAAACGAAAAAAATCGCATTAAGAGAAATCCATTTTAGAATGATCGCATATCTTCCTTATTCTTCATAAGGTAACATTTCTTTCCTTCACGATTAGCGTTAAGTTTTAGAGGATCGACGATAACTTTCCGATTGCTACCTCTTCCATTGCGCAGAGGCACAAGCGCGAGCGCGAGGACAGTAGTAAAGCTTTACGAGCGCGCGTTACGAAAAGGACTCATTTCTGGAGAGGAAAAACTTGCAAAAGTGAGAAAAAAAAGCGAAAGAATATTAATGCAACGTCGAAACGATTATCGTAACGTGCTGTTCCACCCGGCTTATAACATTGCCGAGAGAGAGAGAGAGAGAGAGAGAGAGAGAGAGAGGAGGGAGGGAGGCGAAGTCGGACATATAAGAGCTGAAACGAGCCACTTTGCTCTATGGACGTGGAAATGGCTGTTCTTTCACGGCGCAAAGAAACGCACTAATCGCCGACGGAGCTCCCATTCGGCTAACATTCGAGCAACTCATTATCATTAATTTGAATATCCGCGAAGTTCGTTTACGGAAGGCGCGGAAGCCGGAAAGAAATTCTTTACGACAAATTTTAACAACGCCAGTTAGCTCTAATCTCGGGTTTATTACGCGTGCATACTCTACCCCTGAATTACCAAATAGTGCAGTAAAAAAAAAGTAACCGTTTAATCTTAAGAGTCCGTACGATGTTATACTTTCGTTGCTGAAGTCTGGCATGGTTATACTAATTTAGTTATTACTCGTGCGCGAAAAGCGATCGTATAGTTTTAATCCTAAATTGGAGGAGCTCATGTAATGGGCGAAAATAAGGAAAAGAAAGAGGAATTTAACAAGGCGATTAAAGCGTTTTAAATATAAAACGTATTCTTGAACGTTAATTAATTAACGGCCCGAGAACGCTATTACTGGGCTAAGATATTAACTTCAATTATGGTTCCCTTCAATCGCCATTAAAATTACACTTTTATTTCAAACGATCCGAGTTTTATTAATAACGTCAAAGGCTCTTGCGTAATTCAATAATTAAAATACGTATTTTTTGATACACGCTATAGTACACAAACGCGCTGGAAACGAGAGAAAGAGAAAGAGAGAGATCTAAGCGGCTGTAAATTGCCATCATCCGATTGACTGACCTCATTCCGCGCACAACTTATTCGTGTGAGGATTTAGCCGCCCGGTGATTGTGAACAATCGAGGGTTATACGTCGATCAAAGAAACCGTACGTCGCGAAGCCGTACGACCGAAAAGAAACCTGGTCGCATCAAAGGAAGACTCCAACGTGCCTACCCCGTCCTTCTCCCAATTATTCAAGCGCAATTTGATCCTCCTCGCCGTCAATTCGAGAGAGACGTCGCGCTTAATAAAAACTATTAGATCCCCCGCCCGTAATTAATTGCGCAGTCGCGGAACAATTGAGAGAAAAACGCGGATAATCTCAAGCGAAGAAAAAAATTATATACACACTTCCGTTTTCTTAAGATAATTAATAACATAATAACTTTAAAAAGAGCGGGTCTTTTCAGTAACAAATAATTTCAAAAATATGCATATCAATCTTTCATGCGAGGCACGTGGTAACCGTTAATTAATTTTCCGATAGGTCAGCGCGCCTCGCGTTTTCTTTTCTCGCGTTCCGGATTAAACGGCCCCATTTTCCCCGGTACACGGCCGCAGTTCATCAAGCGAGTTAACGAAGCTCGAGGCAAGGCGGAATTTCGCAGAACGTCGCGTCTCGACTTCCGCCCCTTCCCCTCCCCCTCCGACCCGCCGCTCCCGCGTACCTCGTCTCTCGGCCAAATTCTCATAAATTCCGAGATTGTCGAGGGAGAATTCAAAGCGATTTGAGAGCAAGTGCCTAATAGACGTCGCCTCTCCCGTCTCACCGCTTAGTCGTAGATGACGTAGATAATAGTCGATACCGGAAGTATCGACTATTATCTACGTCACCGCCCGCGCGCGCTTCCCCGGTTCGCTTTTGGCACACGTGTCGCTCCCCCCCCCCTCCTCCTCCCTTCCCCCTCGAGTGTGGAGGAGGAGAAAAAGAAGAGAGTGCGGACAGAGAGAAATTGCGGTGCGCCAGGCGTCTGGTCGTCGAATGCGAATCCGCAACGCGGGCTAGGGACGACGCCGGGGATGGGATGGGGTGGGGTGGGATGGTGTAGCAGGCTCGGGTAGAAGATGAATTACGCGGCCGCGGCCGCGCGCGCGGGAGGATGCATGAGACGCGCGGACGACGGATGGCGCGGCGGACACCGAAGGAGCGAAAAAGCGTGCGAAACGAGCACGGGCGAGAAGAGGGATGAGCGATTCCACCCGCCGGCCGCCACGATCGACGTGAAATAAATTTAAGGCCGATTCCGCTGACCATCGATTCCGACGCGACGAGAATATGCTTGCGAAAAATATGCTGCAGCAGCAGCAGCAGCAGCAGCATGCGGCTGCCATACGGGCGCGCGCGTGCACGCGACACATTGATTTGATAGATGTTATCGAGGATTCATATACCTACTCCGCCGCGGAGGAAATGTATTTGAGCAAATGAATGAACAAGTACACAAATAAAAAACCGTTTCGCCGTTTTCCGTATCCGTAATTAATTGTAATTTTATGTTAATTATCTCTCCATTATCGAAGACGTTCATAACGATTAGAGAGTTGAAGCCGAGTGCTTCAGCAGCTCTTCTCCGATCGGTTATCGGAATTCCGGCGTAATGGAACAATTATCCCGTCGATTGGAAGCAAATCAGACGTCGTGGAAAATATTATTTTACGCAAAACCTTTCTCTCTCTCTCGGATCGAACATCAGTTATTTTTCGACGTTTTTAAAGGGCGACTCCGTAATAAACTTTTTCATAAAAATTCTTCGGAACGAAGTAACGCGAATGCGCATGGCTCATTGATCCCGCTAATGAAACTTGTATTGCAGAAAGTAATAACTGTCAATGATACGTGTGTAAAAGGCGAGCGATAGAAGGGACCGTGAAAGGGAAGGGAGGGGGGAGGGGGGAGGAGGCGATAGAAGGAAATAGGATCGAATCGATCCGAAGTAGCCGAGAGTAGGATTTATTACGTTCCCCTATTCTGCGCTTCCAGAACAATCAGCGGACGCCACAAAGGAGGCCGTCGCGACGAACTTAATTCAAGGATAATTGATCAAGGAGCGGCGCGCGCGCTGCAGGGACCGAATTTTCGATTTCAATTAAAGCGCGCGCATATCTTATAACCAATTGATCAAGGCCGAACCTCTCTAGCTCGACAGTCGAACACACATCGCCCGAGATTCCGGCGTTCTCCCGGCGAAACGCGAGTCGCCGAGAATCAGAGTTTGACCGCGGAGTCGAAGCTTAATTTAGAGAACGAGATTTGAGGAGAATTAAGTCCGAGAGACTCTGACTCACCGGTGACCGGAGCCTCGATGTCTATCATAGTCTTCTCCGAGCGTAGAAGCGCGGCTCCATCGTTGATTATACGAAGGGCCGCGGCCTCGTCGATCCTACCTTCGAGGATAAAGTGTTGCTTGAGGACCTCCGGCCGCGGGGATCCTGTCCGTTCGTCGAAGACTTCTGCCACTGTCATTTTGTGCGACGGTGGAAACGGGACATCTGTTGGACAAAACGAGCGAATTTACAGTGAGGAGAGTGCATACGAAAACAAATGCAAATATATATATATATATATATATATATATATATATATAATGTCCTGAAGCTATAGTCTTTTTTTTTAAATTGCTAAATATACAGTGTATCGCATAATCGATTGAAAAAAATTTTTTGAACACTTGATAAAATTTCTCTCTTCACCGCGAGCAAGCCTTCGCGCGTAAGAGCGGCGAGATTATCTCCCGATCTCGCACGGCAGTGGCATTAATTACAGCCGTGCCGCCGCTCGCTCAGTAATCCCAGGTGACAATTAAGTGTCTTTTTTTTACGAGATACTAGCGGCACTACAAAGCGATACGTCGCGGATAAACACACGGCGTGATCGTGCCTAAATATTGATTGAATAACTTTGCGCGCAAAGCGAAGCGCCGTACTCCCTCCCCCCCC